AGGTATGTTTGAGTAGCCCTTTATTAAATTCTGTCTTGTTTTCCATGTCAGAAGAATGGGAGAAAATTACCACTGTCTTAGGTGGTTCCCTATGACAGCCCAAATGACCTGACTCTCACTTCATGGCTGCCTCTGAGACCTTCCTTACTTGCTGGATATCCTGGCAAGAAAGCAGATTCTTCTGCACTGCCCTGAACAAAAAAAATCCACATGGACTATTTAACGGATGAGGAATGTTTGCCTTTCTGAAGAAATAAGTTCTTGTTTCTCCAGATGGACTGATATTTCAGGGTGTCAAGAATATCACTGTGTTTGTCAAAGAAGCTGGATTCTTTTAAGGGCCAGTGTGCTGCAAAGCAGACCTCAAGAAGCACCTCTGACTGTTCTACAATCTGTATTAAAAGAACCACCTCTGCATATTGAACTGGTCAGAAACCTGGGGCCAAGAGGAACCATCCTTTCTCAGCAGGGATGTCTTTTGTCTTTTTAGCTGCTGTTACCATTGGGGAACCTAATTACAAGGTTGTCTTACACAGGCAAACACTTAAGTAGCCCCTGGAAGAAGATGTTTTTGCTGTGTGCCCTATCCCCTAGCAAGGTGGCTGGGTACATTTCTGGAGTGAGGAATTTTTTCCAGTTCCAAAGATACTAAGGTATCAGTGTGGCAGTCCCTTGAGGAGTCTCTCCTTGATGGGTCGCTGGTCCCAGGCCATGCTCCATGTCCTGGGAGTGAGACAGTCCTGGGCCAGCCTAGACTGACTGCTTCCTCTCTTTGATCAGCAAATGGGGCAAGAAGACTGAGGACCACAACTTTCCATGGACAATAGAGCATCCAGCTAGGAAAAGTCATCCCTTGATCTGTTGGGGAAAAAGGCCAGGTTTTTCCTGTTTCTGCGCAGCCTGAGTAAGGGACTCCCCGCAAACCACCATGGTCTCCGCCACTGAGCAACAAGCTTGTTACTGTCCGATGCTTAACCTGGAGCCCTTCACTGCTTAGGCTAAGGTGGGCCCAATCTGAGAGAGAGACCCAGTGGACAAAGATCTAGTCACTCTGTAGCCACCAGAGAACATGAGTTAAAACCTGGATGGAGGTATTCAGGGTCTGACAGTCTAAGCTGAAAGACATCTATGTGAAAGTGAACCCAGAAAGCTGCCTTTGTAAGGAGACATGAGCCCAGTGTTTGGAGATATGCCCAAATTATGACTCTGATTGCTTGCATCAACCCAGGCAACCTGGCATTCTCAATTGCTTAATTACACCTGCAAGAAAAATGACCTCTTTTACCTGGGGACCAGACCTGTGACACGCATCTCTTTCACCACCCAACCCTCTCCTTTCAGGAAAGCTTTGCATTCTGAATAGAGATTGCTTCTTTCTTTGCCTTTGTTTCTGGATGGCTGTATGTTGCAGACAGAGTGCTGTGGAGGAAATGACAGATGGCTCTTGGGTCTACCAGAGATATCTGAGATGGATAAAGAATTCAGTCGGACTGAGCTAACGGGTTTGGTGTCCTGCAGAGCCAACATATGCAATATAATGCTCTTTAACCCCAGCCTTGAGTTCAGTGGAGTCACCTACTCTCAAGATGTAACCTGTTGACACATTTGCTCCACCCATTCCTTTTCTCACTCTCACCCTTTTCCAAATCCTTAAACTCGACTCCCTCTTCAACTTCCTGCCATTTCTCTTGAGCATGCAGTTTATTCCCATTGCCTTCCTCTCTTCTAATGCTTTGTGTTGCAGTCATTCTCAGACTCTTCCATACCAGGCCTTCCCTGGTGCCCTCCACCCATTTAGTAGTATAGGAAGGATAGTCTCTTAAGCCCTGTCCACAAACTCCAAGATGAGAATCTGTGGCTTCCTCTGCCTTTGGATTCAAGTGTTCAGAACAAACCTGTGATGACTGATGATGTTTTCAGCAATGGCAGAGCCACCTTCAACAGGAAAAATCCTTATATTATCTTTGAGTTCAAATGAGCGACTTGAAACTTTGCCATGTGAAAACCAGCAATGAGTGGAATAGGAGCTGCCAATACAGAGTGCCCTTTCTGTTCCAAAAATAGCAGAGGTGGTGCTAAGGTGCTTAACTTTAATGAAGTTCATGACTTCTACACTGTTAACCATTTTTCCCCCGCTACTGTCTTGATTGCCACTCATGCTGGTGAATAGGGAATGGAATGTGTTTGTTGTTTTATGAATTGAGCAAGTTGTCAGTCCAGAAAGCAATGGAAGAGGAATCTTGTCTACTGACTGGGATCTTGAACTTGACCTATCAGCATGAATGTTCTCTTCCTATACGCAGTCACTTCCATGCACTGTGTATCTTTATCGTCCTTTTATTCTTTGGTCCCCATTCTAATTCTCTACATCCTTACCTTACCACTCTCACCCAACAAAAAAAATGTTGCACTTCCTCTCCAGGACAGAGTGCAAATTTGGGGGAGTGCTTTGTTGCCTCTTGAATGGGTATTTCAGTGCAAGGGCATTGCATCCATTAGGGTTCTCAAAGTACCATCACGCTCTGCTGCCAAGTGGCCTTGCTGCCACAAGATTTGAGAGTAGGAGCCTGCCCAACTTATTAACCAGACCTTGTGTGCCTCTGCCTTGTATACTTAAGGGTTCCACCAGCTATTGCCGAGAGCAAGATTATCCAGAGCTGCCACTTCTCTGCTTGTTGCACAGTTTGATTTGTTTGTGATTAGTCAGAACTGAACCGACGGGTTGTAAAAATGAAAAGTCTACCAAAAATAGTGGAACTGTAGCAAAGCAGTTCTGTACCAACTCTGTCACATCAGCAGGAGCTGGATGAAAGGGCAGATGTCTGAATCAAACATAAACCTATTCTATACATTATAGAAATTAGAGGTGTCAGCAAAACTGAATTGCAGAGAAATGCAATGAGGAGAGTTACTTGTTAAGTTTTTTGCCAGTATTTCCTGAATGTGAACAAAACTTTCCTTATGAAGTCTTTATTATGTGCACAGGGCGTAGGCTGCCCTGAGAGAAGAATGTGAGCATGTGGTTAAGAAAGCTATCGCATTACGTTGTTGTTATCCCATTGCTGTTGATGTTATCTTTCCTTAGAACTGATATTTTTCCTCTTTTTTCCCCCCCTTCAATTTCTAGGTTCTGCTGTTTGGCAGCTGATTGCATCTTTCTTAAAACTCCCCATATCTGGGACCCATTGTATTGTGGGTGCCACAATTGGATTCTCACTTGTTGCCATTGGTACCCAGGGCGTTCAGTGGATGCAGCTTGTCAAGATTGGTAATTGACATTTCCTTTTATACGTGAGGGTATGTGGAAAAGTGTCTGTAGACTAACAAAACCTTGTTTTGTTCCAGCAGCAATGCTTTCACAACTGTCATGCACTGTATTTAAGTTGATCTTTCCTTCCAATCCTGGTGTTCAGAAAATGTGTGTCATGCTGGGCCTCTGGAAACAGCCCCAATGCAGAGGTACCCAAGCAAGAACAGGCACCAGAAGCAGGAAAAGTGGCATTATTGAAAACAAATCCTGCTTTCAGCAAGGTTTGGCAGTATTGGTTAGCAGCCACAGCCATGGTCCTCTGTCTGCTTGCTCCAAAGAGGAAAAAGTTTGGCATACAACAGCCACTTCCATCAGAGGACCTGCTCCCAGGATCTAGACAGGCTATGGAGGGGCCCAAGAGAGAGCTTTGTTGTTCTGCATGGCATTTTGCACACATCACAACTTAAACCTGAGTTGTCAAATATACAGCCCATGGAGCCCTGCTGTCTGGCCACTGGTGCTACCCCTGGGTCTGAGACCCACATGGGGCATAGTGCAAGCCTGTGGTGTGGTCCACTGGCCAGATTCAGCCCACAGATGCCCTCCCCTTTCCCCTTCCTTCAGCATACCTGACCTGGCAGCTGGGCCAACCAGTCTGGGACCCGCACTGTGCAGTATGGATCCCAGAGTGGCCAGATTAGGCATGGCATGCAGCACAATCTGGCCAGAGCAGCGGTCACACTGCATGTGATGGCTGCCTTGGCTAAACACCCAATCTAAACTTTGTCTGTTTCTATAGAGAAGTCACTTGCATACCATGCAGCTTTTGCACAATTAGAATGATATGTATTTTTAATTCAGCTGAAAGTAAAACAGCTTTAAAGAAAGCTTGAAATGACATCAGTGTCAACTTGTTCTTAAAATCAGTCATTGCAAATAATGAATGGTGGTGGGCGGGGTTTTCAAAAGGGCTTCACAACAGTGCCCTACCTCTGCTTCCACTGAAGTCAATGGAAATTTGGTCAGTGCTGTCAGTAAGAAGTTATTTTTGCAAATCTCATCAGTAAAAAGTTGTCTCTCTTTTAATGACCTAACCAAAAGTCAGATCACAGCAGCTGTAAATTGCTGCAACTTTTCACATATCTAGGTCCAGAAGGACAGGTCCTTGTGTCTGTATAGTATCTTGTTGATATCTGTGGTGTTCCATGGGGGTGGAGGGGTCTGCTCACTGCATTGTGATTCCCAGCATGTACCACAAATTATTTTAAAGAAGTAGTTCTCCTGTGGGATGCAGTTACTATTATTCCAGAAAAAATTTGGAGTGTGATTTTTTGAGTAGCTCTTTAGCATTAGTGAAAATTGCATTGACTTCAGTGGGAGCAGATCCAGACAGGGTATAGCAGTGAAGCCACACCCTCCTTTCAGACCATGTTGCCGGAGCTGCAGCTGGAGACTTTTTTTAAGTCCCCAAAGCAGGTAAGAATCCTGTCATCACTGGTCCAGCCCCCTTCTCTGGGCCCCTTCCTTCCACTCTGTCCTCAGAGGTACATCCCCTCCCCTTCCATTTGCATGGTCCCCTGCCTCCTGCTGCCACTGTCCTTGGCTGGACACAGCTGCAGTGGCTCTGGAGCTCCTCCCCACCATGAATTGAATTGGGACAATTGTGGTTTGGGAGGGTTGTTAGGGGAGATGCTCTGGAGCCATTGCAGCGGGGGCTCAGCAGGGAACAGCAACAGTGGTGGCAATGAATGGGTTCCCCTGCCTTATGCTTGCTTCTAGGCTGGTAGAGAGAACACCTGGGGGGAACCAGGCAGGGTGAAGGTACCTTCACTGCTGCTGCCACTACTGTTGTTCCTGGCTGAAGTAGGGCAGAAGCTGCTCTGGAGGCCCCCTGCTCCTGTATCAGCCAAGGATAGTGACAACAGCAGCATGTGAGAGCTCTGTTGGGCAACAGGCAGGGAGGGGACATGCTGCTGAGAATGAAAGAGAAGGGAGGGGGGTGCCAGAAATGGGGAGAGGAATGCGGGGGGAGATGGGATTCTTACCTGCATGAAGCACATAACAAAAAATAAAAAGTCCCTGATGCTGCTCCCATGGCATCATCTGTCTGCACCAGTGGGGGACAGGAAGCTGGGAGCAGGGATGCAGCCACCACTGCAGCACTGGTCACTACTCCCACACCCCCCTTCACAAAATCCTGGATCTGCCCATGGAGATAAATAAAGCCAGTGTCGAATACTTTTGAACATCGTGTCTTTTGAGCAAGCCCAGTCTCTGGAATATCAATATCAGTTGTGCAAGAATCACCATAAATGTTTTATTCTTTGTTCATTGGTTGTTTTTCTATTTGAGAAATTCTTTCTTCCTTAATTACATGGGGTGTTGCCATTCATCAGCTGTTGTATCTATATTTCTGTTTTTGTTCAGTGGCCTCTTGGTTTATTTCCCCACTGTTGTCTGGCCTGATGTCTGGAGTGCTCTTTGTGCTGATCAGATACTGCATCTTAAACAAGGTAAGGAATTTGCTACTCTACACTGCAGCGAGTGCTTGGGGTGACGTGACGTGTGCGTGGCTGCATGTTATTTAACTGTTGACATTTCCATGCCTTGTTTTTTTGAGAGAGCCTGAGCACCCAGTACTCCAACTAAAGCTGCAGTTTCTCTGTGCAAACCTGAAACTCAGAGCCCACAACATAAGAAGTGTTCCAGGCATAAATGAGTTTATATGTTTTAATATATACTCTACTTGACTGGGACATGACCCCCTGAAGATGGCTGTTTTATGAGCCCTTATTTAAAACTGATTTTTGCACAATCATAGCCAATAGTAATGAATGCTGTTAAATGAGGAGAGTGCTAGCAAAATCACTGTACAAAAGGCGTGACTTTACTGGTGTCCAGTAATAAAACAGTGTTTAACCAGGTAATTAATAGGTGTGAAATTCTAAATACTGGTCTCCCAAGGCACCATATGTCAAAGAAAGCCTGAGGAAAATATTTTCCGTAGTATTCAAGAGGTTTAATCACCAGTTTCAGTGTCCTCAGCCAAGAGTGGAAATGTTCAGGAGCCTTTAAGTCAGATAGTTCTAAGTCAGGGGTTTTCAACCTTTTGTGACAAGTGGTACCCCTTCTATCTCAAAGTTTCAGCTCATGTATCCTTTATATTTTTTTTCTTGGTTTTAATGCTACCATTAACAGGAGGGAGGGAAGGGGCTGAGGGGAGGCAGATTGAAGCCCCAGTGGTGAGTGGGGCTGGGGCATGGGCAGGAGCTGCACAGCCAGGGCAGGGCGTAGGACAGCTACGAGCAGCTCATGCAGGGAGGGGAGGGGAGGGGTGAGGGTGCATCTCCTGCTGCTGCATGCACCCTGGGAGGGCATGGGGG